AAATAAGTTTTTGACATGCTAAGTAACATTAACAGCAATTTTCAGAAAATCACATTAATAGGGACAAACACAAAACTTGGCCCACTGATTTTGTTGATCTATGATTACTTCATAGACTAACCATACAGGATCCCATTACATATTTTCATACATAGGACTTCAGTATATGATGGTGCCAGCCAGGTGTGGTGTCACAGGCTTGTAAGCCCAGCATCCCGGGAGGCTGAGACAAAATGATTACAACTTGGACAAAAGGATTACAGCCAAGCCTGGGAAACTTATCAACTTAGTAAGACCCTATCTCAAAACAAAAATAAATAACATGGTCTGGGGATATAGTGGCATAGCTCAGTGAGAAGGCCTTGGGTTCAATTCCTTAGTACTGCAAAAATAAACAGAAAACCAAACAAATAAATAGACAAATTGATGCCTCCAAAGTCTCTTCCTCACCATTGAGCATTTTAAGCAGTGACTAATGTACACTTACAGTAATCCATTTCAGGAACAAGAGGCTGGGCTGCAGCAAAGCTGAGAATCAACCATTAAGGAAGAAAATATTGTCCAAATCCCTGATCGGGGCCATTTTCCTTCCTCATTTACCCCTTCCCCACAAAGGGTCCCAGCCAAGTTGTGTTTTATAACTATTTGCTGAGTAACATCCTATTAGGAAGTAAGACAATACATTTCTGTTCTTTTTAGTTGTGTAAGTATGAAATTGAATAGGACTGTTAAAACAATGTTTCACTTCAAGAGATACCTGTGGAACTCCAGTTGAAGTTCCTACTCTTTTCATTACACTGCACTGTCTTCTCATAGACAGAAAATGCTAAAAGACATAGCCCAGATATAACTATATACACTTAGCAGACAGGAGAAACCCAGCTTGAAAAAAAACCTTCGAGGTGACACTGAGAAGCATCCATGTGCCAGCTAAGTGCACTTATTGCCAAATATGGTCAGTATGCTAATGTCTAGCAGAAATTTTGTCCAGAAATTTAGCTGGATATCTTTCAGCAATTTTTTTTTATGCATGACCATGGCACTTTAGACATGATTCTTACTGTGTGGCACAAATATGTGTTGATGGTAGGAGGGGTTTTGAGGCACTCTAGCTGAAAAGTGTGTTGTTTCTTTTGGTTCTGTTTTGTTTTATTTTCTATTCAAGATTTCCAGTCCTATACTTATCTTAAAAGATAAGGGTAGGTTCAAGACCTTGGTGCAGTTTGAATTCAGGAAAGTTAATGAGAACAGTCATCAAAATCTTCATTGACTCCAACTTAAATATACAAATTATACAGACAGACAGACTTTGGCCCACAATTTACAAGAAATGAAAAATCCCAGATAAGTTTAAGAAGACTAACTTTGCACCTAAGTTAAAAATTTGATCAAAATATACAGTGATATTAGGGCTCATAAAATTTGAAGGCATTGTAGGTACAAATGCAATAGATGCAAGACTATCTAGTTCACCTGGTGACCCCAGTAATTCTGAGATACAAACCCTGTGTACCTTCTTGCCCACCGCCTAGTTTCTGAAGGTATCTCCTGCCTTCCTGCCCATACTGTGGCCAGCTTTGCCAGCTCCTTTGCCCAGCTTCCTCAGGTGGCAGGAGTCCAAGTTGAACTCGTGCTCCCCTCCCAGAACTCTCACCAGGCTGAGTCACCCTTCTGCTGCCAGCACAGATGAAATGTCACACCTGGAGGATCTGGTTTCCTGAGCAGCCACTAAAGGGCTGGATGATAAAACTCAAATGCAGGACTGTCTACTTCCTAAATGGAAACTTGACTAATGGGAAATGGAATACCGTAGGGAGCCAGGTGAACAGATTCCCTCTCCCGACTCTCAGGTGGGTTGCTCTTCCCCTGAAGAGAAGTCTCCATGGAGCAGCTCCATGTGCTGAGCCAACATACTGCTAAGAGACTTGCTGAGTCTCTTCTTAGTTTATTGTTACATGGTAGCCAGTATCACATCATCACATGTGATTTGTGATTCTCAATAATGTGATTCTCAAATAAAGAGTCAGCTCTCCAATCCTGCGTCAGGCTCTACTTTGGAAAAAAGGTTTTCTAAGACAGAGCTATGACAACAGGACAGATTTTATTAAAGTTTTGGATATTGTTCTTTTGACCTGAGGGAGTCACCTTCCACTTTTCTCCATTGTTCCCTGTAACCTGGGAGGTTGCTGAACTGTATCAGCAGGGCTGCATGCTTCTGGCCACCAGTTAGGCCTACTCATTGGGGAGCCCTTTTAGGAGCTTAGAGAGAGAATGTGTTCATTCTTCTGCCTCCCTCCCTGTGAGAGATCACCTTAGGCTGCCTGTGTCCTTCAAATAAAGTCCGCAGCTGGTGTTCCTGCTGGCTTGTTCTTGATTTCTGAGAACTACTTTCTCCTCCTATCCCTTTGACCAGTGAGACACAACACAGGCACGTTACTGCTATTTATGGCAGTTTCCTTTGCAGTCCTCTGCACTCCGCTCTTTCCTTTGTAACTAATTTCTTTATAAATAAATCCTGTGGTATTATTCTATTATTCCAGCTTGAGAATGTTGTCTGTTTCCTGTTGGGACCTAGAGTGGAAGAGTGGTTAGATGATAATATAGTTTATCTAATGTTGGAATAGTAAACAACCATTACAAATCAGTGGTAGTAAAAGAAACTAATGCATTCATTTTGTTTCTTTCTTTTATCACTTAAAATGTCAAGCCATCAGGGTTTGGGTGGGAAATATAATCCTTTAAGGAAGAGACCATTTACAAGAGAGTGGGGAGAGGAGGGAGAATAAAGAATGGTCATGCACCAGGGACAAAAAAGAGCAGAATGCTACCATTTCTGCCAAAGGGACGAAGGAAGAAACAGTGTTCTGCCACCAAAGACCAGTAAAAATGGGATCCCTAGGAGAGTCCAAGACTTCCCAGGACCTCAGTCTGCAGCAGCTTGGGCATAAGGAAAGAAGTTCCTGGACCTCTCTCCCCTCCTACTCACTAATCTCTCTCCAGTCTTTGGTATCCATTCTGTGCCTCTCAATGGCTGAACCCTGTTGGCGACTGGAATAACACAACCTGTAGGGGTCAGCCTGGCTGGACTTTAAGTGAGCTGGGAAAGACATCGAATGGGTTTGGATTGATGGGAGTAGAAAGGGAAACAGACACAATCAGTATAGACAGGATAACAAATGTCAAATACAATCCTAATTTTGTAAAAAGTAAAAAAAAAAAAGATGAACTAGATATTAAAAGTAGTGTCTCATGGCAATAGAATAAATGATTTTTATTTATTTATTTTTTTACTTTCTTTTTTTTTTTGGTATGGGGGATCGAACTTGAGTCCTTCTGCTTGCGAGGCAGGTGGTGAAACCACTGAGCTAGATCCCTGGCTCTGATTTTTATTTTTTAGTATTTGATACATTTTCTAAATAAAAATGTTATGTATGCCTTTAAATTTTACCTTAGAAAAAATGCTAATCGGAGATGCTTATTTTAATTTTTAAAGAAAATATTTCCTGCCTGTGCTTCCTCATGGTAGGCACTTTACTTCCTAAACTTTTCTAGAGGCAGGATCTCATGGAGAGGAAAATCGAGACAAAAGGAGTAGGGCTTCAGGGTGAAAGGATCGTTTGTTTCTCAAAGCACTAGTTTGTTTTACACTATTCCAGTGGGAAATAATAATTTGAAGAGGAACAATTGGTATCCCAAATCTAATTGTCATAGTAGATCTAAAATCCTATTGATTGCTGTTAGCTTGGTTGTGCAGCAAAGCTGATCTGTGATACTTTGTCAAACAAAATTTCTTACCCTAGAGTTGGATGCACAGACCTCCTATAAATATGTAACTACAAAATACTTTCAATTTCATTATATAGTAAACAAAGAGCCCTCTCAGATTTTTCTGTTTCTAAAGTTACTTCTGATTTGTTTTGCTTTGCTTCACATCTTTCCTGTTTTAACATGAACTACTAGGGAAGCAATGTGGAGGAGCAGAAGGTTATTGTCCCCATCTGCATTCACCCTGATGTTTTCTGCCCACTTCGTTCTCTTCTGTTCTTAGCCGGGTCCTGGGGCTCACTGTCCGCCCTCACTCGGTGCTAGGTGAAAAGAAAGCAGCTACCTCCTCTGAAAAAATATTTGGTATGTACAGAATGAGATAGCCAAGCTTTAGAATGTCACAGACCAGCTGGTGAAGGCACTATTACTAATGCAAATTCTTAATCTTTACCAGCGTTTCAACTGTGAGCCTAAGTGGCCACTGGGGAGGATGTAAGCACCCAGGGTCAGAGCTGCTGGGCAAATTCAAATGCACTGCACAAGCTCGGGTGTCCTCATCTCCACTGGCCCCTGGGCTATTTAAAGCTCAGCATTACACAAAGCCGATGAGTTACACTTTGCCATCTTCTGAAATCTAAAAATGTAAGTTGATTCTCAACAGCAAAGATTAACAGTGGACTCAGTAACTGAATTTTTTTAGTTGCCTAAAGTTAAATTAACTTGGGTTAATATATTTGTTATTAATATTTTATAAGTACCCACAAACTATACATGATTTAAACAATAAAACTCAAGAATTCAAGCTAGCATGGATAAAAAGGAATGAGGAATTTCATCTTTTTAAAAAATTAAGATTGCTATCTGGAAATAACATAGTGAATCATAAATAGATTTCAGATTCCTATTTCCAAGGACTGTATTTTAACTTTCAGACTCTATATTTATAAAGTTCCATTTTAATTAAAATACAATCAAAAGAAAAGCTTACCAAGTGAAGGGAGTCACAACTGGTTTTTTTAGTATATAGGAAATTTTTCATAGACTGGATAAGAATTCCCTAAGTGAGTTTGACTCTTCTGCCATGGATTCACAAACAGCCTCTGGCACTGTGGGGAGTCATAAAGAAACTACTGTGGTGTACCAAACTGAAGTCTCCTACTGCACAAATACATTTAACAATTTTCTTCTCTGCATAAGAACAATAAAGACAACCTCAACATACCAGGAATTGTGTATATATTTTTAATCTTCAAAAGAGTCATTTCAAACATGGATAATAGAAATATTCCCGTGGTACCATTGGCTGAGCTATCATCTTCCTCATTGGAACAGGAACCGCTAAGGTTTCACTTAGTCCCAAGTGGATCCTTCACTTCCACCACCAAAATTCCATCATGACAGAGGATCGCAGACAAATCTTTGGTTTCTACACCATCTGGCAGTTTGTACTGCCGGGTGAAGCTACGAGAGATAAAACCGTGCTCATCCATTCTGGTTCCGTGCTGAGCTTTGATCAGCAGCCAGCCCTCGAAGGTCTGAATGATGATATCTTCGGGGAGGAACTGGACCACATCCAGCAGGATCTGAAAGCAAGATTTGCCTTCTTCGGGTGGCATCTCTGCCGTCGCTGAGTCTGCTGGAGGAGGCTGCGGCGCTGCTCTGGCTTTTCTCAGGTCCATGATGGTTGGCCCAGGCAGGGCATATAAAGCGTGATCCAGCCTGCAGTCTTCCAAACCTCGAGCTTCAAACTCCTCCTGGTAACGCACTGGAGTCTCTATGAGGTGCCTTAAAATGATTTTCGCCATAGTGGAGCCCAAAACAGCAATGAACAGCTTCCTTTCAGTGAGTGCTGAACCCTTGCGGCTGCCTACTGACGGGATCCCCAGTCAGAGCCGCTATTCATTTGTAGCCCTGCCCAGAAGCAACCGCTTAATTAGGCCTGAATCAGACCACGCACACTCAGTCTTGTCTTTTTACACGCTGACAATGAGAAGCTATTTATAGGGACGTTTGGGACTTGTGTTTAGCACACAGCCTACACAAGCTGCCCAGGCAAGGATCACTCTTACATTCTCAGTTATCCTCGGCAAACGTGTCACTTTCCTTACCTCAAGGGAAAGAGAAAAATGCGAATCAGAAATGGCACTTGAAAGATATGTGGACAAATGGTTCCTTTTTTTGTGAACTACAGTGATCTAATGGACTATGACTTAGAACAGTCGAGATAAGTGCACTCATTTTATAATATGAGCTAACACAAATACAAAGCTGGAGGGAGAAGACTGTGTTTAAAATTGATGAGGAATTAAGACACACGCGCGCGCACACACACACACACACACACCCCACATTCAAATTCATTCCATAAATTCTCAGGTCTCAGTCCTATACATTTTCTTTTCTTTTATCTTTTATTCTTTTGTGCTTATGGGACAGCTGACTACATTATCTAGGTTTTTGTTTTTGTTTTACTTTTGACTTATTAAGAATGAGATAAGATAACTAAGCTAGGTAAGTGTTAAACTTCAAATAGGGGTAGAGAGACATAGCATGGTGGATCTTACGAGAAAAATAAAGCTGCAGGAGAGAGAAAAATGTCAAAGTGTTCAACCATTTCCCTCTAAAGTCCAGAAAACAATCTAATCGCAGCTCTGCTATTGAATTGGCAAAAATAATATATACATTTCTGAACTATAAAATACTTTAACTTCTATTGAAAAAGAATGATGCATCTTTTTTCCCACTATCATAGAATGATCTCCAAAATATGTTAAGTAAAAAATAAAAGTCCAGAACAGCCTATACATGCTATAACTATATAGTAACCATACTCATTTTAAAGTAGGCATTTGCTTATACAAACAGAATTTCTCTGAAAGTTCTGTAGCTAGGAGCAATGATTGCCTCTCAGAAGGCAACAGGGCAGTTGGAAGACAGAGGCTGGAAGGAATTTTTGTGTTTTTTAAAAAGTATGAATGGAATATACATACAGAATAAGTACTCAAATATAGAAAACTTCCTCCATGGAGGTCAGTATTTTCCAAAATGAAATACCTTTTCTTGAAAATATATAAATTTTATTTGAATGAAATAAAAACATTTTTATAAAACTATAAATCAGAAGGGAATAAAAATCTCCTTTACCTCCTTTTGTTACCCTCAAACACTCATTTCTGATGTAATATTTAAAACCTTTGCCATTTTTCCAGAGCCCCTTTGACCCTAACCCAAAGACTGAGCCACGCATATCATCATCATTGTCATCATCAACAACAACCTTAACCTTTCGTCCTTTTGGAGAGTCAACCAGGCTTCCTGACAGGTCCCCATCTCATGCCACCCTGTCCTGTCCTCCACCTTGTGACTGAAGCAGTTGTAGAGCCCCCTGTAGATGAGGTCATCTTGCTTTAGAATCTAGTCAGAAGCTTTTCATCTCAAACAGATTGAAATCCAAAATCCTTTCCATGGCGTTCAAGAACTTGTCCTCTGGCCCCTGCTGACCACCTCCCCTGACTTTCCCCCTTGACCCCTGTGCTTCAGCCACAATGGCCTGTGTTGATCCTGTGAGTATTTTACTCTTGTTGCTTCCTCAGGCCCTTTACACTGGGAGTCTCTTTGCTTTTGAAAGCTTCTCTTTCAGATTGGGTCAAGGTTTCCCAGTTCTTATTATTTAAGCATCAGGTCAGATTTACCTCTTCAGCCAAGGCTTTCTAAAGAAGTCCCCTTCTCACTCCATCAGAGCCTATTTTCCTTTGTTCTGTGTTCTTTGATGGGATGGTCAGTCAGGCTTAGCCACAAGAAGAGAGGAGAGAGAGTTTTGGGCAAAAAGTGAGTCATCCTCACAGGCCTAGACCAGGAGGCACAGAGGGCCACACAGGGCATGGGGAAGCCTCACTGTGGTCAGGAAGCAGAGGACAGGAGCAGAGAAGGTTTACACCAGAGCCTTCACCTGTGTTTCTAAAAGTCAAAGCAAGGCAGACATTTTAGGATTGCCTAGTGTGAATAATTTCAGCAAGCTGTATGTGAGGGGAGTGGTCTCCGGTTACCTAGTTCCTGGCTTTGGGATGACTAAGGCAGAAGACTATTGCCTCCTGGAGTGCAGTGGTCAGAAAGAGAATGTCTGACTCTGGATGGGTAGTTTGCTTATGAAGGGCATGTTCCTGGCTACCCTTTGCTATCTCTAAGAATTAAAATTAACTAGTCTCTCCTCTGTCAGGAAGAGTTTTAAGGTGTCAAAACACAGGAATATACACAAAATAATGTAT